AGTAGCGGCAGCTGGAAGCCCCTGGTCCTTTAAAGTCACCGTCAGAGCCCCGCCACCGCTACCCCAGGGCTCCAGCAGCAGGGCTCGGGTGGCGATTTAAAGGGCCCGGGGCTCCGGCTGCCACTACCACCCCGGGCCCTTTAAATTGTCCCCGGAGCCCTGTTGCCGGAGCCCTGGGGAGGTGGAGGCAGGTCTCCAGCGGCTATTTTAAGGGCCCAAGCGGTAGCGGCTGCCGCAGCCCCAGATCCTTTAAATAGCCGCCGGAGCCCTGCCGCCGCTACCCCAGGGCTCCGGGGACGATTTAAAGGGCCCGGGGTGTTAGCTGCGGCAGGCATCCCGGGCCCTTTAAATCGCCGCCTGAGCCCCGCCGCCGCTACCCCAGGGCTCCGGCAGCAGGGCTCCGGCAGCAATTTAAAGGGCCCAGGGCTCCAGCCGCTGCTGGGAGCCCCAGGCCCTTTAAATTGCCGCCAGGGGAAGCCGATCCACCCCGATACGGTGCACTGGCTCTTGCCGGTACACCGTACCGGGGCGTACCAGCTTACCCTGCCCTGTATTAATCATAGACTGGGATGAAGTCACCCCTTAATCTTCACTTTGTTAAACTAAATAGATTGAGTTCTTTGAGTCTATCACAATGAGGCAGGTTTTCTCATCCTTCAATCTTCTCGGACCCCTCTCCAATTTATCAACATCCTTCTTCACTGTGGGCACCAGAACTGGACACAGGATCCCAGTAGCGGTCCCACCAGTGCCACATACAGAGGTGAAATAACCTCTGAGATTCCCTCGTTGACCGGCTTCACATTAGCTCTTTTGGCCACCGCGTCGCACTGGGAGCGCATGTTCAGCTGATTAACCACCACAACCCCCAAATCTTTTTCGGAGTCCCTGCTCCCCAGGGTAGAGTCCCCTACCCTGTAAGTATGGCCTGCATCTGTGTTCCTAGACAGATACATTTTAAATTTAGCTGTACTAAAATGCTTATTGTTTGCTTCAGCCCAGTTTCCCAAGCAATCCAGATTGTTCTATATCAGTGACCTAAGTTCCCTCTCCCCCAGCCCAACCCAGCCACGGACCTGCCCCTCCCCCGGCCCCAGCCCGGCCCTGCCGCAGCAGGGAGAGGTACCTCTCCCACCCAGCCCAGATGCTGCTGCAGGGAGAGAGAGCTGGGGGGAGTTCTCTCTTCCTGCCGTAGCCCCGGGGTAGCCTGCACCCCAAACCCCTGGCCCCACCCCAGAGCCTGCACCCCCAGCCAGAGCCATCATCCCCTCCGCCTCCCACACTCTAACCCTCTACCCCCTCCCACAATCCAAACTCCTTGGCCTCACCCCCCAGCCCAGAGCCCCCTCCTGCTCCCCAAACCCTTCATCCCCAGCCCCACCCCAGAGCCCGTAGCCCTAGCCGGAGCTCTCACCCCCCCACTCCCTAACCCTCTGCCCCAGCCCAGAGCCTCCTCCCACAATCCGAACTCCTTGGCCTCACTCCCCAGCCCAGAGCTCCCTCCTGCACCCCAAACCCTTCATCCCCGGCCCCACCCCAGAGCCCACACCCCCAGCCAGAGCCCTCACCCCTCCGCACCCCAACCCTCTGCCCCAGCCCTGAGCCCCCTCCCACACTCCGAACCCCTCAGCCCCACCCCCGCCACATGAATTTTGTTATGCGCACCAATATGGAGGCGATGTGTCACACCTCACCGCCATATTGGTGCACATAACAAAATTCATTCCACACAGGGGTGGGAAAAATTAGAGGGAACACGGTCCGTGACCCGTCCCCTTCATTATTTACCACTCCTCCAATTTTGGGGTTATCTGCAAACTTTATCCGTGATGATTTTATGTTTTGTTCCAGGTCATTGATAAAGATCTTAAACAGCGTAGGGCCAAGAACCGATCGCTGCAGGACCCCACCCCCTGGACATGCATCCCCCCAAATGATGATTCTCCATTTACAGTTACATTTTTGAGACCTATCAGTTAGCCAGTTTTTAATCCATTTAATGTGGGCCACATGAAATTTATATCATTCTAGTTCTTTAATCAAAATGTCCTGCAGCACCAAGTCAAACGCTTTGCAGAAGTCTAAGTCTATTACGTCAACACTATTTACCTTTATCAATCAAACTTTTAATCCCTTAAAAAAAAATAGCATGTTAGTTTGACAGCTCCCAGTCTCACAGACTTTAAGGTCAGAAGGGACCATCATGATCATCTAGTCTGACCTCCTGCACAACGCAGGTCACAGAACCTCACCCAGCCACTCCTGTAACAGACCCCTAACCTCTGGCTGAGTTACTGAAGTCCTCAAATCATGATTTAAAGACTTCACGTTACAGAGACTCCACAATTTACATTAGTTTAAATCTGCAAGTGATCTGTGCCCCATGCTGCAGAGGAAGGCGAAACCCCAACCCCCCCGAGGGTCTCTGCCAATCTGACCCTGGGGAAACTTCCTTCCTGCCCCCAAATATGCCGATAAGTTAGACCCTGAGCATGTGGGCAAGACCCACCAGCCAGACACCTGGGAACGGATTCTCTGTAGTAAGTCAGAGCCCGACCCATCTAGTGCCCCATCATCGGGCGTTGGAGATACTTGCTACTAGCAGTCACAGATCAGCTACATGCCATTGTAGGCAGTCCCATCATATCACCCCTCTATAAACTTATCAAATTCAGTCTTGAAGCCAGTTTGGTTTTTTGCCCCCACTGCTCCCCCCTTGGAAGGTTGTTCCAGAACTTCACTCCTCGGATGGCTAGAAACCTTCATCTAATTTCAAGCCTAAACCTGTTCATGGCCAGTTTACATCCATTTGGTCTTGTGTCCACATTGGTGCTTGATTTAAATAACTCCTCTCCTTCCCTGGTGTTTATCCCTCTGATGTATTTACAGAGAGCAATCATATCTCCCCTCAGCCTTCTTTTGGCCAAGCTAAACAAGCCAAGCTCATAAAATCTCCCCTTGTAAGGTGCGTTTTTCATTCCTTGGATCATCCTAGTCGCCCTTCTCTGCACCTGTTCCAGCCTGAATTCATCCTTCTTAAACATGAGAGACCAGAACCGCACACAGAATTCCAGCTGAGGGCTCACCAGTGCCTTGTAGAACGGCAATACCACATCCCTAGCTCTGCTGGTGATTATGGGAGAAGCTCGGCTTTCATTAGTTTATTTTAAACACTTTTAAAAAAAATCTCAGCTCCCATTTGTGTGTTTTGCTTGTTTGGCGGAGCTGGGGGGGGGGGGCGCTAATGGATAGAGCACTGGGCTGGAACTCAGGAGATCTTTGGCTTCTTTGCTACTGGCCTGCTGGGTGACCGGGGCCAGTCACAGCCCCACTCTGTGCGTCAGTTTCCCCATCTGTAAAATGGGGATAATGATACTGAGCTCCTCAGTAAAGAGCTTTGAGAGCTGCTGACTGGCCCCAGTCCCCTCCC